TATTAACAAAATAAGACAAAGCCAAAGACACTTGCATAATATTCTTGCTGCCTAGGTAAAAATATTCCTTTTAAGTAAAATCTGAGAAAAGAAAGTATCATATAGTTTGAAAGAGCTTTGTTTTCCATGGGCACGAAGAATCAAGTCCTCTGTAACACAAAAATATGAAGCGAAAAACCAGGCGTGGGAGCATGTGCCTGTGATCCTAGTACCTGGGAGACATAGAAGGGTCACAAGTACAAGGTCAGCAAGGGCTACACAGTGAATTCCACACCAGCGTGAGCTATGTGTTAACATACTAAAGACTCTGCCTCAAGAGTCAATTTCTGAGCCAGGCATGGTGATACATACCTGTAATCCTAGCACCTAGAAACCTGAGTCAGGAGGATCACCACAAATTCAAAGCATTTTAGAAATGGAGTACAAGGTGACTGGTTGAAGAGATTCATTTCTAGACTTTTCCTTTAGTCTCTAGCAACAACTTTTTTGCTGAATAAAATACCCACAATCTAAACATTATTTTTATAATAGAAGAGAATTATATCCCCCATCTACATTATGTGTAGTTTATGTTGCTTCATATACTTGATCTATAAAGCAAAATAGAAAATCTAACCTCAAGGAAACTCATTGAAAGTTTATAGGAGTTACCACAGCAAGATAGCTAAATAGGACTTTTCAATGTACCTACCCTCTCAGAAACATCACATTGATATACTATTCACACATCAAAATCTCTTTTGCAAGTGCTCAGGAATCCAGGTGGCAGCTTGCTGCACCTGGCTGAAGTGAAATAAAGAAAGCTGTATTAGGGCTGGAGAGATGGCTCAGTGGTTAACAGCACTGGCTGCTCTTCCAGAGATCCGAAGTTCAATTCCCAGCAACCACATAGTGGCTCAAAGCCATCTGTGATGAGATCCGATGTCCTCGTCTGATGTGTTAGTGACAGTGTATTCATATACATTAAATAAATAATAAAAATAAAAAATACCCAATCTCTTAAAAAAAAAAAGATATATATATTATTACTTCACCTGTGTCACTCAAGCTGCATAGGAGACGAACCAGACAGGCCCATAGCAATGAGACTCAAAGCCAGGCAGACCCTATAGCCCCATGGAAGAAGCTCTAACTAAATTCTGCACACTCATGTTTCAGACCCATCCCAGATTCCAGACCAGGCCTAGACCAGATTCCATAGCCTTAGACTGTAGGCCAACCACAAGTGTCAGATCTGTACCCTATTACCAGTACAGGTTCATCTCAACATTGGGGTAGCCTTTACAGCACCAGACTCTAGACTAGCACAGGCCACTATGATGGAGACCTAGTTTCTAGGCTGAATGCCACACATACCAGCTCTTCCTTTCCCAGGATCCACAGTAATCCTCAGAGCTCCATCCTGGAGAGGACTCAGGGTCCAGACTCATTTCAGCAAACCCAATGACAAGGCCAATCCTTGGTGTTCAGTTTGTCTACATGAACTCAGGTTCTAGGTCTGCCCTAAAGAACACAGCTCCAGTCATATATCAAACACAGGCTGGCTGCAGTGACCAGAAAAACTATGCTATTACCATAGGTGGATGCTCAGGCCAGTCCAAAAGAGCCAGCCTCTATCAAGACCTGAGTTCAAACCGCAGCACCCAGGTAAAAAGGACAGCCATAGACAGGAGGACCTTGGGTATGCTGCTAGCCAATCTAGCTGAATTAGCAAGCTCCAGATTCAATGAGACCCTGTTTCAAAAAATAAGGTGTTGAAGAATTGAGAAAGACATCAATATCAACCTCTGGCCTCCACACATGAGCGTGCATGCAAATGCACACACAAAACCATTACTGTTGGCTGATATATATGAAAACATACTGATTTCAATTTTATCAGCATATTTCCCATTAATGAGTACAGGACTTCCTTTAGTGTGTAGGTTCAAAATGATTCTAGGTTATTTGAATGCAGCTCATATTTCTAATCCTCTGGTAAAGGGGATCCCTACATTTAAACTATAGTTTCAAAATAAACAATGGCAGTACAGTGAAAGCCTTTACGTAGAGGGTAGTCCTCAGCACGGCTCCTTTAAGAATTGTACAATCATTGACTACCATTAGTCCTGCAAGTACAAATAATTACTGTCTTTTTTTTTTCTCTCCTCTAAAAGATACTGAGATAAATAACTAGAATATTGTCCTATTTTGAGTAAGTCATAACTTTCTGTATTAAGTCTAGTTCAAATAATTCAGAGTTTAAATCTCCAACATCCTGGGTTCTAAGTTCAATGCTACCACCTTTAACACTGTCCTTGCCTCCAGTTTCCAATAACATGCTCCCTTATTTCCTTCTCAGCTCTTTCTAGCAGCACCCTAAAAGTCCACATTTCTGGCCTGGGCCTAGTGATGCATGCACTCAGAAGGCAGAGGCAGGAGGATCTATGAGTTTGAGTTCAGCCTGGTCTACATAGGAAGTTCCAGGACTATACAGATATTCTATCTGAAAGGAAAGGGAAACGCATGCACATACACTTGCATGCATGCAAAGCCTAAACAACAAAAAGTCTGTATTCCTTCTGACAATGTGTTCAAAGCAGTTTAGGATTCTTCTCTATCATTTTCTTCAAATTTTTTCACCTTCTAGCACCTCCTTTCTGCTACCCAAACCTGCAGCTTTGAAATTCTATGTAACCAATGTTTTTGGGGCTTGAGACAACATCTGCTTATTGTCTAAGAGTTAGGAGTAGAGGGATAGCTTAACTAGATCCTCTGCTCTGGGGTTCCCAGGGCCCAAACCACACTGGCAATCCTACCTTCCAGATCACTAGTAGGCAGAATTAAGTTTCCTTAGAACTAAGAGGAATCACAGTTTTCTTGAGGGCCATCAGCCAGAGAAGAAAATGTCACCTTCAGTCTTCTGTATGACCCTTTCAAAATATGGCTCTCTGTTTCTACAAGACACCTGCTGCTTTTGCTTGACTCTTTTAAGGACTCACTTATTCGGAAAGACCTACCAAAGACAATGTTTCCTTTGACTAATTCAAAACCAAATCATCCCCAATTTAGGAATAAAATTACTTCATATTTACAGGCTTTGTCCACACTAAAGAGCAGGGAATTACACAGGGCCATGCAAGGCAAGGGGAGAATAGCAAAATCATCTTACGATTCATTTAAAGCATCACGGAACCATTCTGCTTACTGTCCCCTCTAAGCTGGCTCCTGCCTCTTAAGAGTCCACCTGCATACTCTGTGGTTATTCCTTTTCATTTTTTATTACTTGCCTCAAGACACTGATTTTCATGTTTCTTATCTTCTGTAAATCTAAACAGTCATTAAGCTAGTATGGTTTCCCTTCCCTCTACTCCTCCCCACCTCCCCTCCCATATGGATCCACTCCCTTTCTGTCTCTCATTAGAAAACAAACAGGCTTCTAAGGAATAATAATAATAAAAATAAATAGGATAAAATAAAAACTAACACACTGGGATTGGACAAAACAAAGAGAAGAAAAAGAGCTCAAGAAAAAGCAGAAGAGAGACTCACTTACTCTCACACTAAGAAATCCCATAAAATCCTATCGTGGAAACCATAAGATATCCACACAGGACCTGGCACAGACCCGTGCAGGTTGCTTCAGGCTCTGTGATGGAACTGCAATTACATGTGGTCAATACTTTTTTCCCTCAACTTCTACTAGTGTAAATGGACATACAACTAGAAAAAAACTATACACTCTAGATTTTTCTTAACAGCCTGGCTAGCATGAAATAAACAGGACTCTCCTATTCTTTCAAAACTATACATTTTTATAAAAGGAAATTTTTAATAAATGTTTGAAATACTCAAGAATTTGCCAATAATAAAAGCATTGAAAGTGTTATTTTTCTAGTATTCAATGCATTTATCCTCAAATAGAATTGTTTGTTTTTGAGGCAGGGCTTTTCTGTGAAGTCCTGGCTGTTCTGGAACTCACTCTGTATGTGGACCAGGATGGCCTCAAACTCAGATATTCACCTGTCTCTTTCTTCCAGGTCCACCTGGCAATAAATCCTTTCTTACACAAGAATGTTCTGGTTTGACTTGAGAGAATACTGTCTGTATGTACCTCAAGTGCTGTGGTTTCCTTTAATTTCCAGTGATCAAACTCAGTTTGTCTGTGGAAGCCTATGAACCGTCTTCATACACTTGAGCAGGGAACAGAAGTCTTTACCCTGAACAGCTTCACTTGAGAAGGAAACACCTCCCTCCCACATCAAATCAACAAATGTTTATGTGTCAACTATAAATATATGCTCTTGCCCATAACATTATATATGGGAAGGCACTTTATCAGTCTTACATTAGATTGTAAGTATTATATTAGCGTTTATTACTACTGGATACGTTTCAGGTTAACAACCTAGCTAAGGGAAGAGGAACAAGGCAGGATTATGGGTATGAAGCTAGTCTGACCTACACAGTGACTGGCCAGAGTGGTCTGTAAGGTGATATTATCTCAGAAAAACCAACCAATCAACCAACCAACCAACCAACCAACCAACCGATAAACAAATGACAAAAATTCTCTAAAAGGAGGTAAAGGTTCTCACTCTTCTCTAATGAAATGGGCTGTACTCTCTAACCTGATAGTTCAGGCTGCTGTTCCTCAAGTATGTCTATCTTTCCAATACAGTAAAGGAAATCAGATAGCTATAGTCACTGCAAAGGAAAAAGTCATTTTTTTAAAAAAACAATTCATAACTAGCCTCAAAGTCATGGAACTCTCTTACCTCAGCCTCACAGGTGTTGAAATTACAGGTATGAGCCACTAGGTCTGGCTAAGAGTCAATTCTTATATAAGGACTTCTAATGCCAATACCAGGTACAAGCTAACAGGTTAAGCGAACTTCACTACTGAGAACAGTGAGAAGAATTAATAAATATACAAACGGTTTTATATGAGATAGTGCTGAGATTATACACCTGATTTTTTGAAGTGTCAAGTAAATGTAAATACTTTCTAAACTCAGTCATAAGTAAAATAAACCAAAAGGAATTTATTTACAAAATGTCTTACTTCAACAACAGTTACAGCCAAGAAACAGGATATCAAGCAGTAATGAACTAAGAGACTCCAGTAATCCGTGTTTAAGCTATTATGGCCAGAGTAGCTTTTCTTGCTAGCTAGAAAGATGTCCGTCTGAGCCGTCCACTTGCACAAGGGTATTATTGAACCAAGGGGGCTGTGTGAGCAGCACAGACACATGTGGGGTCAGCTGAGTCACGTGTTTCTTGGCTTTTTCTCCTCCCTCGTTAGTTTTCTACTTTTCTCCTTCTCTGTTGACTCCTTCCTCTTTTTCTCCTCCACTATCAGCTCCTTTCTCAGCTTCCTCTTCTTTATTGCCAGCTCCTTCCTCTCCTTCTTTGTCCTGAACACTGACGGAAACTGCTTTGTTATAGCCTTCCCGGTTCCGAGCAATTTCAATGGCAAAAAATTGAATCCTGGGTGCTGAAAGGTAAATAGAATTGATTGTCCTGGTCTTAGATAATTATGTGTACTGACTAAGAATAAATTCTAACTAACATGAAAGCCACTCAAATACATGTTATATTAAGGAATAGGACCTTAAAAGATATAAAAAATAAGATGATCTCTGAGGTAATTATCCTTGTTAGTTACCCAGACTCCTTATTCAGATCCTCTTACAGAAACAATGCTTGAGGTAAGAAACTCACCAAAGATAGTGTTCTCTTCAGTGTAGCCCTGGGAACAATCCAGTCGCAGCAAAGTACCATAGTTATAATCTTCTACAATCCCTTCGAATTTTAAGCAGAATGGCCTCCACTTCTACAAAGGCAAAAAGTGACAGCTTAGCTGATAAATCCAAGAGTCTAATGTACTTGAGCCAGGAAAGAGGTTTGAGCTTCTCTGGTGAGGATAAAGGCCAGGGTCAAAGATGTCTCTTGACAAATAATGAGGTGACTGTCAGCTTTCTAGAGGAAATTATACCACACTTCTGGACTGCTGCTCCCCCTACATACAATATTTTGATCAGGAAAACAAAAAACAAAATAACAAAGAAAGCAACCACCTCAATCTTTTTACTACGGAATTAAAATGTGATTTCTAAAATGGATCTATGTTTTACTTTGAGTTATTTATCAGCCTCCTCAAGTGAAGTGGGTACTCATCCTCACCAAAGTACCAACGAGACAAAGGCGGCAGAGATATACCTTAATGTTATACAAGTCCACCGAGTAGGGGCAAATTCTCAAAGATCAGTGACAGCTTGCTAGGACTTCAAACTTTAAATTCTTCATTAGCCAAGACTCCACTTGAAGGAAAATCTTTTTCCTATTGTAATCTCAGTGCTCTGTGTCAGCATGAGATGATCACATAAGCTAGAAATACCACTGCTATGCTATCCAAGACCTATCATCAATGGAACAAAACTCCAGAGTCAAAATGCTGCCCTACATTCCCTGTTAACTATTTCATCATCCAGCCCTTCCAGCTAAATTTCCTGCTAAAATAAACTCACCCCTTCTCCCCTTAAAGGAGTATCTTAAGGGGGTAGTTGAAGTGCCCAAAATAAGGAGAGGGAAAAAAAAAATGTCTTCAATAACAAAGCATATGAGAAAGTAATTACTTCCATAGCTGACTTAATTATTATAAAATTCAGGTTTCTTATTGTAAGTCTCTTGAACAAATGTGAAGCTTATATACAAACATATAATTATAATTATTGGCTAGATGTTAGATAAAGCTTAAGAGGATACCTACCTCTTTAGCGGATTCTGATTTGAGTTCTTCTGGGTCCAAAACATCTACTCTGAGTGTATCAAAGATTTCACGGAACTCAGAGTAGATTTGATCATCTACTTTGGTGAGTTTCAGAAACTGTGGGTCAACTGATGAAATCAGCTGCCAGACAACAAAACAGACATAAAGATGCTAGTCACTAATTTAGACTTCAACCCCTCCAGTGCCACACCATCAGAAAACCTTATGGTTCTCAGGTCAGAAGATTAGACAGTATTAACAGCCCAGGTCTTGCATGAAGTCATTAAAATGGTCTTAAGAGTCACAATAATAGCCCCTCTCTTTTTGTTTTTCTTTTTTCTTTTACCATTTTGGCAATTGAATAAACCCTACAGTCCTAGTATTGCCTGGCTCTGGTTTTGTGATTGTTCATTCATTCAACAGACATTTAAGTGTCTGCTACTCTTGGGCCAGGCATCTTCCCTCCAGGTTAGCAAACGAAAGGAGGCAAACAGAACTTCTCATCATCAAATTCACTTCTACCCTTGCTCCCTGGAGGGAAGATACTTTGGCAGTTAAAACAAGCAAAACTTAACAATTTAAGTTGCTGAGAAACATAATCAGCATAGCACCATACACTAAAATTACATGTTGACTTCTGCTTAATGATGACAACTCACTTTATAATAGACTTCAGCATGCTGCATTGCTCGAATGGCCCAAGCCATTTCAATATCAGGCTGTAAAAGAGGAAGAACATCAGCTCAGAAATCTCTCAGTCCTGTAATGGATAACAAATTAAAGACATCTTGCTAAATCTCAAGAAGTCTACAGAAAACGTTGCTGTCAGGGATAAAAACTGAACTAGTGGATTTTGCAATATAAATATTTTGTTCCTATAGTGACCAAAAGAAGCTGTCAATACAGAATAACAAAAACAATGAACTACTAGACATCTTTTTCCATCAGCAAGTGATATCTATTACAATAAATAAAAATATAATTTATCATTATATATATGATAGATATATTACATCATATAAAAAATTAAACAACGTAACTTACATTAATACTCACACACCTCAGAGTTGTTGGGAGGACAAAAATACATGTGAAACTATTTTTCACTTTCCTGAGTGTAGCATGTTATATTCATCATTTGTCTTTATCAGATAGCCAATTTTCCATTCTGTAAAACTCCAGAACAAATGATGTAGCTAGATTATATATAAATATGTCTGAACAAGTACCCACAGGCTGTTCCATTGGACTCTCCTTTTTCAACCCTCTGTTGTCCCCTTTATGAAGCCAGAAAAATCCATCTACACATGCACCTCCCCACCTTAGACCATGAAATTTTCCTACCTTTGAATCTATATTTTCTGTTCACTAATGCTTTGAGGATTCAAGTTACACTTCCCAGATGAAATCCACTGACCCCATCCTTAAAAAGCTCTCCTGCTAAACCCTTCCCATCTTATTACTTGAGCCACTCATATAGTACATATTACATCCTGATTGCTATTCCTGCCACCCTTTTTTCTTATCTCTCGATATACAGTTTATACAAAAGTCCAAATGAAGCACACCACAAACTGGTGCCACTTTACTACTTTCATTCATTTTAAAGGCTCTTTAAAAACTACTATGTTTTGGCTCCTCTTCCCTCAGACATTATGATTTGATCTGATGTGGGCTGTAATCTGGATGTGCGGGGTGTTCAGAGGCTTCCCGGGTGGTTCTAAATCATAGAAAGTTAGGAACTCACTTTCACAGGTTCTTAGAGTACTATAATTTGTCAACTACGATTACACTGATGTGGAAAAGGTACAATTTTTGGCGGATTTGGGGAAGTCTGAAGATATCAAACAGTAAAGGAGCTTATAATTTAAAGCCAGGGCTGACATCCTGGGATAGCTGGGTGGGCGGGAAGTGTAGGTTTAGTCATACTCACGTCGTTGCCATATGACTCAGGAGGGTAAGAAAGAGCATGGGCGATGGACACCGCTTCCCCAGAAATCTGAGAAGAAGAAAAAAGCAGCGCTGAGTCCCCTGATTCCTTGGGTCGCTCGTTACCCAATCTCCACTTGGGTATTTAATCAACATCAGAGCAGTATCTTACCGGCTCTTCGCTTTCGCTGGCAGCATCCATGTTGCTGCTAGGTAAGTGCGGCTTTCCCTTCCCGGAAGTGACCTGTTGCGCGCGCTGCTTTAACAGTTAATTGAAAGCAATAGGGCGGAAACAGACACCAGTTTCTCCGTCTGCGCCTGCGTGCGCCCGCCTTGCAGAGGAAGCGGTGGCTCCGCCTTATCCGGGCCACACAGGCGCCAGCCAATGTGGCGTGTTATTACTTAGCAACGCTATCTCTCTAGCCAAGGTGATAGAATATTCAATAAATCAGCGGGGAAAATAAGTTGTATGAAAAAAAATTAAACATTTTTTAAATGATGCTTTTATTAAGTCCCCTGCGTGCCGTGTTCCCATTTCGCACTCCCGCGCTCGCGCGCGCACACACACACACACGCACACGCAGGTGCGCGCGAATGCCCGCCTTAACCACTTGCAAGCAAGGTACTAGAAGCAGGACGGTGGAATTCGGGCATGAAGAAGAATTTGCTACCTGTTTTGGAAGAACTAGCAGAGTGAGGTAACAACGAGGTGAGCATCATCATACACTGTGGGAGCATACCTGAGCTGAGTCATGATTGGGCGCTTAACCAAGCAGGTCAGAAAGACTCAAGGCAGAGGGAAGGAACATGGATGGGCAAAGGTATCAGGGAAAAAGCATTAATAATACCTTGCAAAGAGCAATCTAGCAGGAACAGAGTCCAGTCAGGAGCTTTGTGCGGTGGATTTTAAAGAGATGAAAATTTAAAAAAAGAATGTAAGGGTATTTTTTCTTTGTTTTTGGTTTGGATTCGTATTTGTTTGAGACTACTCTCATTTCCACAGTGGCTGCTCGAGTTTGGAATCTCACCAAAAGTGAACGAGAGTTCCCATTCCACATCCTCACCAGAATTTCTTATCAATTGTTTTCTTGATCTTAACTTTTCTAGTTAGGGTAACATGAACCTCAGAGTTGTTTTAATTGGCATTTTCCCTAATTGCTAAATATGGTAAAGATGCTAAAGCTTTAACGATAATCTTTAGTTAATTTTTCATCTCATTAATTTGTTTTGATTTTGAGAATTCTCTATTCAGATCTGTAGCTGCCCCTTCCCTCCAGCCATTTTAAACTGGATCCTTGGCTTTCTTGATTCCTTTTTTCCTTCCTATATTCTGGATAGTTTATCAAACGAATAGCTGCCAAATATTCTCTCCCACTCTGTGGGCTTCCTCTCTATAGCTTATTGTTCCATTTTCTGTACATAGTATTTTAGTTTTATGAGGTCTTCTTTGTTAATTGTTTGCCTTAATTCATAATTGAATGGGGTCCTGTTCAAAGTCTCTTGCTACACCTATATGTTGTAGGGTATCTATCACCCATGTATTCTTATAGCAATTCCAGCATTACAAGTTTCACATTGAGCTCTTTGATTCATTTCAAGTTGATTCTAGTTCAGGGTAATGCATTCAGAAATCTGTAAAATTACATTCACTCGTGTTTGGACTTCTATTTTGTTCTGTTGATTTACAAGTCTGTTTTTATGCCATTACTGTACTGTCTATTATCATCATCACCATCATCATTATTATTGTTATTATTATTGTAGCGCTGAAATCTTACCAAATTATATAGCTAAAACTACACTATTCCTTGACATATGCCAAAGGACGCAGTGTCCTGTTTTACAGATACTTGCTCAGCCATGTTCATCACTGCTCTGTTCATAATAGCTGGAAACTGGAAACAACCTAAATGGTCTTCAGCTGATGGAAGGATAATGAAAATGTGGTACATATACACAATGGAATTCTATATCAGGTGAGAAAAAATGAAATCATGAAAATTGCAGGTATATGAAACTAGAAAATATTATACTTAGTGAGGTAGTTCAGACTCATAGACAAATGCTGCTTTCTCTCTGATTTGTGAATGCTAGATCTGAATTTTCTTTTTTTTTTTCAAAACAGGGTTTCTCTGTATAGCCCTTGCTGTCCTGGAACTCACTCTGTAGACCAGGCTGGCCACAAACTCAGAAATCTACTTGCCTCTGCCTCCCAAATGCTGGTATTAAAGGCATGAGCCACCACTGCCCAGCTTGCTAGATCTGAATCTTAAGAGGTGAGTGTATAACCCGAAGTTAACACAGAAACCCTAAAAGTTAAAAGGAGAGAATGGGGAAGGGGTAAACTGAGCTATAAAGCAGAGAGTAGAATGAATTGGGCATTTAGAAAAATGAGGAGGCTTTATCTGCCAGGAGGGAGGGCAATCCAGAGAAAAAGGGAGGGAAAGAAGATAAAGAGCACTAAAAGTAATTGAAAAGGCCACAGCCATTACATAAACATTATTTTATATTTGCTTAAAATACATATGTAATATAATTAAGTACATGTAAATGATAATGTAATGCGGTTACTGTAAGATTATGGCACAGCATGAGACCGACCAGTTCCATGTGAGGCAGGTTTATTAAGGGTGGAGGGAGAGAGAGGCGGGGAGACAGAAGATGGCGAAGGGAGGGGAAGAAGAAAAGAAAGAGAAGGAGGTCGGGAAGCTCCACCTATTTATACGGACTATGACCTAGCTCTTGTAGCCAGGTGAATTGTGGGAGTGTTATCTTGGTTGCCACAGCAATGATGTGACGTCACTGAGTTCGGACTTATACTAACATACGTCTCTTTTTCTTATTATAAAAAAGAAAAAAAGGGGAGGGGAAGCCGATGGTGATAGAGGAGTCAGGGCGCCCTGTCTCTTAAACTACTTCCTGCTGTGTAGGGGCGTAGTCCGTTGGGGGAGCAGCTGGCTTTTTCAGCATTGGGGCCCACTCGATGGATGTGTGTATCAGGGTCTTCTGTGGACAACAACTGGTAACTGTTCCCCCCAAAATGACATTCTTCTTGGGAGAACTGGCGAAGACCATCTTCTTTAGCTGTCAGGACACTTGGCACCCATCAGTTCTGAAACACCACAGCTGGAATCTCGCAGGTCTTGTATGTAGAAACGAGTGTCTTGTAGTGTTGGTAGAAGAAGTGGTTGGTCCGTGAACCTAGCATATGTATCTGAAAAGACCAATACTCTTCTATTTGGGTAAAAAGAAAGTAAGTATAGAGAACATAATATTTAGATGGGATAACAGATATAGGGATGGTGACAATTTGGATTGGTTCTTGGCATCCGGCTATGGAGCAGTTTTCTGACCCTGTTTGGAAAGACTGTTTGTTATCTGTGGGTGTCTCTTGAACCTCGAGCCTCCAGATGTAAGGGCTGACCTGGATAGGAACAAACAGCAGTGGGAGGACGAGAAACCCATGTCTAGTCCAGTGAGGTCGAGCATGGCTGCTGGAGTGGAGTCTCATTTTCTGGGATTGAGGACAAGGTGGGTGATTTCGATGTCCTCTGGAGCTTAATACAGCACGGTCCTGTTAGGGTCAACTTGTATGAAGGAGAATCGATTTTAGATGGAGAAATGAAAGGCTTGAGGTAAGACAATGGACCCAATGAGGGAGTCCTTCAAGTTTAGCAGCTGTAGGAGTCACAAGAATTACCTTAAAAGGGCCCTGCCATTTGGGAGAGAGGGGTGAGGGCCGATGATCTGGAGGGGAGAGAAGGACTTGGTCTCCAATGTTGACAGGCAGTGGACAGGAGACAGTGTGTGGTTGAGGTAGATGGTGGTCAGCAAAGTTCCACAAGAGAGAACAGAGGTGGTAAAGTAATGGGGTGAGCAGATGGTCTGGGAGGGGAACATTTAGGTGAAAGACCAGGAGTTAGGACTAGACGTACAAAGTTCAAAGGGTGAGATGAAGAGAGGCCACTTGGGAAGGGCTCATAGCCTGAAAAGAGCCAGAGGTAGGAGTTTTACCCAGTTAAGGTGAAGTTCCTGTGACAGCTTGACAAGAGTGTTTTTTAAAGAGCAGTTAGTTCTCTCTACCTTGCCTGAAGGTTGAGGGTGGTAAGGAATATGAAAATGCCAGGGGATGTCTAGGGTCTTAGATAGAATTTGAGAAACTTCAGAAGTAAATTCAGGCCCATTGTCTGACTGGAGGGAGGCGGGGACAAATCTGGGAATGATCTGAGGAGGAGATCAGAGATTGTCTAAGCCCTTTTGTTGGTTGTGGGAAAAGCCTCTACGCAGCCTGAGAAGGTGACCACCAAGACCAGGAGGTACTTGACAGCAGGTACAGCAGGCATGTGGGTAAAGTCAAGTTGCCAGTCAGTTCCAGGAAGGGAACCTCTAGCCTGATGGGTAGGAAAAGGGGTGCTACGATACCTTGAGTTGGGATCTGACACCTGACAGATTTTGCAAGAAGCAGTGATAGATTTTAGGAAACTTAAGTCCTCAGGAGTAGGCTGTAGGTGAGTCTTAACAAAATAAGACAACGCTTGGCTGTTAGGATGAAAGAGTTGGTGAAGATAGGCCAGAGTTTGACGAGTGTCAAGGGGTGCAGGTGGAGATGTGTGTTGCAGTGAAAGAATGTCCTGGGGAGGGTGAGATGAGTGTAGGCCCCTAAGGGCTGCAGCTCTAGCTGCCTCATCAGCTCGTTTGTTTCCCTTGGAGACAATAGAGTCATCCGTCCAGTGGGATCTGCAGTGGACAATCCCAATAGCTATGGGGAGATGGGAGGCCTTTAGCACGACCATAATCTGGTTTACAGTAGTTACTGATCCTCGTTTTGTGGTAAGTAACCCACGCTCCTTCCAGATAGCAGCATGGGACAGGAGGATATGGAAAGCATATTTGGAATCTGTGTACATGTTGAGGGATTGTCCCTGTGCCAGCTGGAAGGCACGGGTAAGGGCTATTAGTTCAGCCTGTTGGTTGGTGGAATGAGCAGGAAGGGCCTGTACCTCCACCACCTTGGTGTCTGACACTATGGCATAACCAGCTTTCCTGGCCCCTTCATGTAGAAAGGAGCTTCCATCTGTATACCAGGTAAAGGTGGCTTGAGGCAATGTGCCCTCCTGTATGTGTGAAGGATAAGGTAATAGTTCCTCTAAGGTTTCAGTACAGGAGTGAGATAGGGAGTAGTCAGTGTTAGGTCGAGGAAGAAGGTTGGAAATATTAAGAGGTGGGCATGATTGAAAGGTGAGGGTGGAGTCTTCTATTAGAGCTACCTGAAGTTACAACATGTGTAGTAGCAATGCTCCCACCAATTCAGACTACTAAACAGCAATCTCTGGTGTCTGATATGGGACACTTCCCTTCAAGCTGTTGCTCACAGGAGTTCAAGAGACTCCCCAAAGAATAAAAAGATGTGGAAGCTTATAACTTGAAGTGAAAATTAAAAGCAGACCAGCTTGAAGGTGGTAGGTGATAAAAAAAAGAAAACACTGACAGTTGCGGAATGACTAATGCCCTCTGAATCAATTTGATATGGAGTATAAAGGAGACTTGGCATCCTGGTATGAACCACAGGCTTTGAAACAACTCATGGAGGATGGTGCTATTACTGAGTTAGAAGACATAGGAGGAGAGATGAGTGTCATTTGAGGAGCTGAGTTGAAATACCTTACTGGACTCATAGAATCGATAAGGCAGAGAGAGACCCGAGCAGAGATATGAATTTGATAGCAAGTACTATTGTGCTTTTCATGAGGAAAATGTTAAGACTGTAAAGGCTCAAAAAGAGACAAGGCAGGCACATAATCAACTATGAAGAGGCAGGAAAACAAAGACTAAATACAAAAAGAGATGTCGCTGAGACATCAGCAAAATATAAAGCAAAGTCTCACAAAAGCCAAAGGATCAGAAAAGTTCTAGAAATAACTCCTGTATGCTGAGTATACTAAGCCTAGAAATGCTGAGAGGTAGAAATGCTGAAACCAGATGGGTCTGGGGGTAAAGAGGGCATAGGAGACAGAGATGGCAGCATCTACAAAAAGTTCTGAAAAGTTGCATATAGGAGGAGCTATCAGGTCTAGGACCTCTGAAATGTGGTAAAGGACAAAAAACTTAAAATTGTATTGTTTATCCATTTATAAGTAAACAATTCAACAGTGTACATATATTCATGCTTTTCTACAGCAGATCTCTAGCAAGTTTTTGTGTTGCAAAACTAAAAACTCCATGTTTACTAAACAATAAATTCCCATATCCCTTTCTTTCAAGCTCCTGAAATCACCATTCTGTTTCTCTGAATTCGGCTGTTAGATACTCCATACAGGTGGGCTCATGCAGTTTTTCTGCTTTGTGACTGGCTTATTTTGCTTGACCTAATGACTTACAGGATTTCTTTCTTCTTTAAAGCTGAATGATATTCTATGGTATGTAGATAGCATGCTTTATTTGTCCAGGGAGAAGCAGTTTTGACAAATTGTGACTAATTCTGCTATGAGTTTGAGTACGTAAATATCACTTTCAAACTCTGCCTTCCATTACATTTCTGGATAGTACCTTTGATCATGTAGTTAATGGTTCATTTTTAAAGGTTTTTGTTTATTTGCAGAGTTTCTGGGATTTTTAAAGTTATTCTTTGAAGTTTGGAAAGACTTCTAGTTTTAGAGCTTGGCTTTATGCAGAAGATTTTTGGTCGGGGGAGGGGGAACTAGGTGAACCTACACATTGACAGGCAGCAGAAGTAGGAAATTGAGGTGTTGCCTCCAGGTGCCACTTGTTCTTTGGTACAAAATACTAGGGGGCAGCTCAGAGAAAGATGTTCTCAAGACTGACCTTAAGAAAACTGCTTTATGAGCTTAAGAAAACTGAGTAGCCATTCACAAGAATAGAAGAACCAATTTAAGAAGCATTTGGAAGGTTTGCAAGAAACAGCTAATACAAGAGAACATGGTTCTGTCTATGTGCTACCCAGTGATCAGAATATAGTGTGGATTGCCTATGTGGATGTTGAATGTTAGCAAATGCTCAGTATACAAGAATGACATAGAGGGGCAGACTAAAGCTGGTCACCAAATTGCTACATTACAAGTAAACATGAGTAATCTCAAGAGACTCAACTAGCCTTTTATTTCAGGAAGCAACCAAGGTAATTTGCTTTGTTTAATGTTTTAAGCAGATATGTTACTTTAAATATTTTTTTAAAAGATATATTTATTTATTTTATGTATATGAGTATACTGTAGCTGTCTTCAGACACACCAGAAGAGGGCGTTGGATTCCATTACAGATGGCTGTGAGCCACCATGTGGTTGCTGGGATTTGAACTCAGGACCTCTGGAAGAGCAGAGAGTGCCCTTAACCACCGAGCCATCTCTCCAGCCCTGCTTTAAATATTTTAATTACAATATGTAATATGTGAATAGCATATTATAGTTATTTTTAATATTTTAAAATAAAGTGTATACTACTCAACTATTTGCAGACAGATATTTGTGTTGACCAGTAATTAGATCCTAACAGTGTTGGATAAGTCTACTTCTAACTTAAAACTGCAGGAGATGAAGCTATCACCTGCAGTTTTCTTTTTGTTTGTTTGCTTCTTTTTGTTTTGTTTTCTTCACCAGTTGGTCAGGAAACTAGACTAGGTAGGTTTATTATAATAATTATTTTTACTTATGCCTATTGGTCAGCTTTTCAAACATTGGAGAGAAGAAAGATGTAGAAGTAAATGGAAGTTCACAGACTCAATGGACTTTAAAGAAGACATTATGATGCCTTGATAGTAGCAAACAGTTGTTAAAATCTAATGTTAACTACTGGTGTTTATTTTTCTGTCTCTGTTCTTCATTCATGAGGTATTTTGACTGCCCAACCTATGAAAAATGAAAAAGAAAATGTTTTTCTATGGAAAAATGTTTTTTAGTGGATTAAAAGTTGAAGCCAAAGAAATTGGCACTCAAATTATGTTTAATAGTCTTTGTTTTTGCAAGAGTACCTCTGATACTTTGCCATTATTTTCAGCAGCCTGAACTCCTTTGCTTTTTTGTATATGTTCATGCCTTTTATCATTACTTATTTGGGGAAGATTTTGTGGGTTACCATAGTTTGCTTGGACTTTTAGTAATCTGAGCAAGTTTCTTAGTCTCTTTAGTTGGCACCAAATATCTGGAGTGGCAAATCAATGGGAAGACATGCTAGTAGCTGGAATTTTCAGAATTGATCTCAAATCTGTTATTTTCAAATGTGTGATTGAAAAAATTTATCCTTAGAAAATTTCTAAGACATGAGAAATGATTCTCAGTTCATAATGAGAGTATATAAGTGAGGTAGTTTATTTTTTGACCTTGCAAAGTAAGACACTAGCCTAGAATGGCAGGCACACTGAGTGTAGAGAGCAGTTTATACACCCTAACACATGACTATTCCCCTCTCTTTTGAAAGTTTTCTACTGTAAACTTTCTGTTTGGATTAGTACGGATAGCTAAGCAGAGTTTGGGTGAGAGAAATAGCTAGACTAGTAGGAATTAGCATGACTAATGTTTTCTGTCCATTTGTAGCTACACATACGATAGCTCAAGGCATCTTTGAAAAGTTATCCATCATATTCTATTTCTGTCAAGAAAACGTTATTAAACAATGTGCTAATATCCTGACTCAAATTTCAGCTAACTTTCCAACATTTCTATCAAAGATAGCAAAGAAATCAAATTGTATCTTGGAAAAAAATTCTGTTAATATGTTTCCTCAAACAATAGGAAACTCGATGTAGAAAGAATCTCAGCGTTCCACCTACAAGAGATACTGTGAGGTCTTTCTCACAGATGGATGCAGGAAATAGATGGTGAAGCAGGTCTCTGACAGCCTGAGTGTTCTAGTGAAGAGATATGACAGGTATTCACGAGAGATAAAAACATGGGACCATTCGAAAATTTGAAGCCTTGTAAATAGGAAAGCAAATATTACCATTGTATTTTCTCAAGGCATTGATGACATAGTGGACTGCTCTGTCATGCCTTTTCTGACCACAGCTTTGTTTGGTTGTTTCTTCTTCCTGGTTATGGGAATATGTTTTAAGGTTAATCATTTTTACTTACTCCAATAGCTAACAACTCCATAATAACTATGCACCAAAGAATGTTTACATGGCAGGTGTGCTGCTTGATTCATGCTGAAGAATCACTGACCTTATTTCATTTTCCCTAATTTATACTGGATAGGGTTTCATGCCTTTCTATATAAATTGAATTTCCCATTACTTATAGCAAAACAGGAGAGTTGCCAGCCAGTATAGGAGGAAGAAGGCTGGGACTGAAGGGGAGGTACCTACGGGGTCATAGGCCAGGCCAGTATTGTTGGGGTAGAATAGCTGAGCATCTGCCCAGCTATAGTGCCAAAGCTCATAATAAATGTATGTCTCCTGAATAAATGTCTTTCTTTAGATCTAGGGCAGGCATAGAAAGTCTGTACACTTATAGCCAAGTGTGGGTCCTGGAAACCCCAAATAACTCTTAACCACTGAGCCATGTGTCCAGTCCCACTTTTTGAATTGAGTATCATGTACTATAATATAATTACCAAACATGTTTCACACTGGACAATAATGAGGCTTATATGAGTATTGCTTTCAGAGTTCAGTTTATAGGTTCTCATTTAAGTTTGTTCATTCTGTTTCTCAAAATTTCTGAATTTTTGTTTATTGGCTGTCTTAGGGTTTCTATTGATATGGTAAACCACCATGACCAAAGCAAAGGGCTCATTCCTTTTATGTTCATTTCTATATCACAGTCCATTACTGAAGAAATCAGGGCAGGAACTAGGCAAGAACTTAGAGGTGAGAACTGAAGCCAAAGCAAATCCTGCTCACTGTCTGGCTCCCCTAGGCTTGCTCAGTCTGCTTTCTTTTGCTACCCAGGACCACATGCCCAGGGGTTGTCCTACCCCCAGTGAGCTGGGCCCTCCCCCATCAATCAATCAATCAATCAATCAATCAAGAAAATTGCCTCTAGACCAAATTGATAAATGCATATTCTTAGTTGAGAGTACTTGTTCCCAGATGCCTGTTGCTTTGTCAAGTGTACATAATACTAACTAGGACATTGGGTGATGTTTTATCTCTTAACTTTGTGTCATAGTCCAGAATCCTACATCCAACCTGCCTCATTGCCATCAATCATTGCTTCTATTTTCCCAGTGTGTGAAGTGATAGTGTCCTGATGAAAGAATATTCTTCTGAGCTTCCTGTGTGGACATTTCTGTCCCTTTATAAGGGGCCCATAGCCCCATTTTCCCTGTACGCATTTTGACCATTGCTCATGTGGGTGACAAAATGCTCCCTCGCTGGAAATAAACAGTCCTGCCTAAGGTCAGACCAAACCTCTCATTCTTTCCACCTTCTGTCCCTCTTCAGATGCCTTTTAATAATCTACCTTGAAGTAAGAAAATTAATTCCAAGAGGCCAGTCAAGAACTTCAGCTACTGATTTTTTGCACCTAGTAAACAGATCTGCTTTTCAGGAAGGAAAAACTAGAAAACATCAAATACTTGTAATTCTAACACATAATAAATTGATTGCTAATTATATTTTAAAATCGCCTTGTATATATATGATTATGTTATATATAATTACACATACGCACATACTCACTTGTAAAATGAGAACAAAACTATCCAACTTGTAGTTATTCTACAACTACTCACGAGGACAATCAGCTAACATAGAAGGCCTGCTCAATTTATGGCACTTAAGTGCAATATTAGTATTTTGGTCATAGAGCTTAATCACTAAGGCTTGGAGGCCTGGGCTTTAGAAGTTTTAATGAAGAACCCTCGTAAACAAGATTAGGCAATTTTTATAAAAAGGCATGGCATGGGGAGTGGAATTCCTTGACATCTCTTCCATCTTCTGATGAAACAGTTCCTCTGGAATAGCAAGCAACAAAGCTCAATCTTGAAAGCACTCAGACGTCATAACCATTTTTCGTTCCTTTGTCTTATAATTCCCAACCTCTAAAATGTGAAAAGTTAATTTCTAATGGTTATAAAGTACCCAGTCTCATATTTTTAATAGCACAAATTAAACTTCTATGCTTTTATTCACAGGAACCGCATATTTTATTTTATAAGCCAAAAAAAAATGTGCCGCATGGGAGATAGTGCTGTCTTTAGAAAAAATAAAATGCATATCCGAGAAAGTATACAGTAAGCTAGTATCAAATTAAAGAAATCATAGTAATCAAAGAAACATATTAAAATGTTTTTTCCAGTCATTAGATTGGTTTAGGATTAGGAAAACCTAGGGCTATAAAACTGCCTGAGGAGGCCCAGGTTTCTATAAGGAAGTAGTTTTTTGACGGAGGTGTGTTTTTTTTTTTTCTAAACACAAAGGGCGGGGGAAGAGAGGGTCTGAATGCAGTTGTGAAATCATGCTGCCACCAAGCGGCTATTTTTCATAAGGTAAAAAACAAAGGCCGGGAGTGTGTTTTCTTTATGCCCGACTTTGGCTTTTTGTTCTGGAAGGGACCAGTGAAGATACGAACAGAGACAAAATGAAAAAGGAAGGCTAAAGCCCGCTAACCAGAATGCCCCACCACTTAGCTCCGGAGGGTGCCCCGGAAGTGAATTCGCAATTGATTGACACGTAGTTCCTTCAAACCAGACCCTGGAAGCCATGGCAGCAGCAGGAAGTCCCGGCTGTTTTAAAGTTGCGGTTCCGGTGTTCAGAAGGCCAAGGATGCTGGGAAGCCTGAACTTGTTTATCAGTTTGTTCGAAACTCCACCCACAGTTCAGTTTGGCCTGAGTGTTTTGTTCCGACACCGGTGCGAAGTGGCTCCCTTTACTGGTAGAAATGAAAGCTGTGGCTGTGGGGGTCGGGGGGCGGGATGGGGAGGGCGGCGGAAACCTTAGTCTTCCTACCTTAGCACAAAAAAGATCGCTCCCTGTCGTATTTTGCACATATGCATTGGGCTGTACTGAATTACCCGATTAGCTGTGTTTTCTGGGCCATACAGATGTTTGGCGGGAAGTTTGTCTAGTCAGGGCTGGCGTTTTCTAGGGGTTGAGGGTAGGCACCTAGCACTGGAATTCTAAGGGCATAAATTCACACACCTGTCTAGACATCTGTTTATCCTTTGATTCAGGAAAACATCTGACGCCATGCGGTGCCAGAGACCCTGGATACCTGAGACATGTCAACTTCTCAGGTACTTCATTCTAGTATCTGGAGCCAGACTATAAATAAATGATTGACTTAATTTCAGGTAAACCTGAATAATACGAAATAAAACAGGCCAAGAAATATGGCGGGAGTATCTTTTATTTGGTCTAAATGGTGAGGTCTTACTTCCTCTAAAAATGAGGTTGAGGACGTTAGAAACGGTGTGGTGTGGCATTAGACTTTGAATAGACTTCAAGTACAGATGTTTACTGCGTAATTCCTAGTATTTACTTCTAGACTTTGAAAACTAGCATTAGAATAGAAAGTTGTACTAGAAGGGTTCAAGGGATGCAGAAGTGCCAGCACTAGAGCTTGCAATACAATGTGTTAGGGCTTTGAACATTTGAGTTCAAGGCTTCCTCTGACTTAATCCCAGAGTCCTGAGGGTGGGGACGCCTGATTCCCTTCCTTTTTCTCTTCTGCTTTCCCACCTTGTCTTCGTTCTCTATGAGTCCTGGGATCTCATCCTTTCAGATTGGATATCTGTGGACTTCGCTATGCTGTGAGGAAAGAGTGTGGTATAGGCAGAGCTCCAGTGCTATCAGTGGAATTTTAATTCTGGTTTAAGAGTTTGGGATGGGGCCTTGCTGCAGTGTAATTGTGAAGGTGTTTTAAAGAATCTTATGATTCGGCATAGAGAAATAGTGAAAACAGCATAGTGAATTGAGTAAAATAAACCCAGGCATATTGTTGGTGGGCAAAATTAGAATCCTTCCAGTTATCCCAGGTATGGTTCGTGCTTGTTGGTTCCTTCTTATTCTGTATCTCCCTTCTTCTTTCTCTTCTCTCCACCTCTCCCCTCCTAGTCTCAGTTCCCCCCTCCCTCTGCCTCCCTCCTTCCCTTTTATAGAGTTTCATGTAGTTTAGGCTGACTGGAGTTTTCCATTGTTCTCCCATGTCCTGAGTTACAGATATAAGCTAGCATCATCTTTGGCCTGTTTCTCTTTCTAGGTATGGAATGGACAATGATGAGAAATAAAAACAAAAAGATCTGCAGAAAGAAGCCATGGTAAGATTCAAGGCTTCACAGTCCAAATGCCTGTGGACACTTGACCAAGTGACCTGAGAAAATTGGATTCCTGGAACAAGTGTAACTAGACTCAGGCAAGGTAAGTGACCAAGTAGGCAGAGAAGCATTATCTGGGGTTTCAGGGGAAGGTTGAGAATGGTAAATGGGTTGGCACATTGCTGTAATGTAAGGGACAGTGGAAATTTTTCTGTATTTTTCTTTTGCTTAAAGATACCTTACTACTTTAGTTGGAATATTAAGGGCACCCCACCCAGCTGTTTGGGTCCCAGACAATGGCAATTTTTTTGTCCCATTGTGTTGGATGGCAGCTTTTTGTTGACTAGGAGGCAGTTCTTTCTGTAGTCAGCACCTTCTTTTCCAGGTACAGTCTGTAGATTAATTTGACTTCTTTGTTGTAAATACTAAGATTTAGGACTGTATTTTGTATATAATGTAGGTACATTGTTGTGAGGACAGCCATTTCTTGTAGTTGGGAAAAGCTGTTTAGAGGAAAATGTCATGCCATGGTGTGTTTTGAGCCATAGTCATTACTGACTGCTTGCATTCATTTGCAATTTACCAAAGGCTAACCCATGCTAACTTCCTCCATATTCCCGCATTCAAATGACCCAGACAGATTGATAGCTAAACTCCTTAAATATAGGAAACTAGAGCTAAGGTTGTGGCAGCAATTTACCAACAAAGAAGTATAGCCATGGTCCCAGTCGAGCTTCATCTCTAGCCCAGTGTTTCTACAAGCAGATTTCCCCAGACCAACAACACTGTAATCACAAGGGACCTTGTTAGAAATGCCAAGCTTAGACTCATTACATCACAACTGGGTTTCCAGCCCAGCCACTGTTTTAGGCACTTTTCAGGTGATTCTGATACATTTGAATTTTCAAACCACTAACCAGTACCCCAGGTCTTCACTAACCAGTAAATCTGAACTTTCCAGAGGCTTTGATGCACTTACATATCACATGCAGAGTCTGAGTCATAGGCTGGTCCATGGACCATACTGTAGGCCTTGTGCTGTATTGGACCCTGACTTTCTTAAGTGAGCATGGTTATTGATGATGGGAAGGATTAGCCTCTAAAGTTCTGACTTCTAAAAGCAGACAGGCTATAGGATTCTTAGTTACCTACACAGTGTCTGTCTCTGTCTCTCTCTCTCTTTCTCTGTTTCTCTGTGTGGGTGTGTGTTATATAATATAGAGAGAAATCTAGGATGCAGGAGGAGGGAAGAAGAAGGAACCATCAAGCATGAATGAGGCTGGGGATAACTGAAAGGATTCTAATTTGGGCCATTGGGTAGAAATTGCTCCTAGGCTTCATTCAGAAAATACTGAGCCCTGGTGAAAAAAGAGGCAATGAGCAGTCTGAGAATTCGCTTCCTGAGTGAGATGACATGTGCTTATTGGCCAGCAATCACCTCAAATAACGTAAAATAAGCTTTTGGAAATGATGGGATTATCATGCTGTGAATGAAGATCTTACTACCAAACTGGTAATAAATAAGGCTGGTATGCCTCTCCCAATGTGTGTATAGGGGGTGGTTTCCAAGTAGTTTCTGTTTGGAATGCTATTTGTTCTTGGGTGTTAAAGTGAACTAACATTAAAAGGTACACTTCCCTATATTCTAGTAAGTGACAAGGTGTGTATTTGTTATATAACAAATGAGGACAAGGCGAAAACAGATTGTGCTTGTTTTGTAGCAGAGTGGAGCACAGAGGATGACTAGATAAAATGGAAAGAATGCCCAGGCATCCCAATGCCCCCATTGATGTTCCAGAACTTCAAGACATGACGAACTACATATGTACACCTGGAGGAGGTAGGTGACCTACAGGCTATCCTTGTGGGCTAGGCAGTATAGGAGCATAAGATGCTCCTTAAAGCCCCAGCTCTCCTGGCCGAAGTGCTTCTAAGAGTCACTTCATAGATTCTGGTGCTTGAAGGCTTCTGTAAAGCATGAAGGACAACTAGTGTCCAAAAATATAGTTATTGTAGCCACCACCATGCTACAGGCTGCCAACTATCAGGTATTGTAATTGTCCTTATTGAGATCTAATGACTACATGGATCTCTTGCTTTGTGACATTGATAGGAATGGTCGCTAAGAAGCTGGACATTCTATGGAGGTCAATAAAGAAGGACCTTATGTAGAGGCACTTTAATCCAGCAACATGGCTGTTCTGGCAAAGGACTATACTCTTTTAATTCATCTGGCTGGAATCCAGACATACCCTTAGTACCTACCTTCAATCCCAAACTATGAAAGTAAAGTTAGTTTATAGTAGGAAGCGTTGATATTTGAAAGTGACATCTAATTGAAAGACAGTTCAGTCAGTTTGGTGCAGTTCAGTTGAGTGAATGCGAGGCAGTACTTTGAATTTGTTCATAGTTCCTTCAGAGGCAGTTCAAGCCAGAGAGTAAGAAGGAGCCAGAAGATTAGAACAAATTGCCAGAGTTAGTTTGAGGCTAAGCAGAGCAATTCAGTGAGAAGCTGAGAGAAGCTTGAATCAATCAGCTTAGAAAGGAGTTTGAGCCAGAACAGCTGAATTGAACCAGCCAGCGAGAGTTCAGAAAGAGCTAGAGTAAGCTTATTCAGCAGTGAGCCTCCAAGACAGCAATTACATCAGGCAAATAAAAGTTACTTTAATAATCGTGCAGCAATCTACTTCAGTTCACATCAGTGTGGATAGAACCATCTACATGTCATCCCTAGATGTCAGGAACTGTAAAGGGAGAGCCCAGAATTGTTGTGGAATGCCCAGACTTCCTCCCAAATGAACTCTAGTAAACGAGAAGCCAAGCATATCTGCCCAGTGATAGAATGAAAGAAGATACTGCCTAGAGCACAGAGTAGAGGCAAAGAGTAGTATCAGTATGATCCAAATATTGGTGGAGAAAACTACCCTTCCATATACCAAGGTGCCTGCCTTTTGTGTATGTTAGTGGAGGAGGCACTATTAGTCTTTGTGCAGCCACAAGTTTGAATTCCTTAGGACCTTAAATAGACAGTGAATCAAATGATCCTATCTCCCTCCTGAAGTTTTCGTTTGTTTGATACTCTGTGTATGAAGTTTGGGGATGGGAAGTCTTTTGCTGTCATGAAACTTACAAGAAAAGTATTGTGAAAGTGAACCTTCATCTGGAAGAATCTGTACATATTTATACTTACCTATTTGTGTGTAGGTACATAGATAGATGTGTGTACTGCAAAGAGATTTTTTTTCTCCTTAAATAAATTTTCAAAAACATTTTGGATTAAGTATGTACACTCCAAGTATTAGATTTACTTGGGCTGGCAATAGAGATTTCTTTTCTTTTCTTGAAGTAGCATGACTTTTGGTTCTTTAATAGCATCAAGAATGAAACATTTTATAGGACCTGCAGGTATCCATATGGCAGTTTGGAGTAAGTAGGCCGATGAGACTTTTGAATCTTGCCGGTTAGTGAGTCCGTACTTGAAGATTACGAACAGGACTAAGTCTTACTGGTTTCACTTTTCTTGCTCTGAGCAACATTTCTGGATGCTTTCTTACTTTTATAAGCCCCAAGTTCTAGTGGATTATGTCTTATTTATGCCTCTTCATCATGACCAAAAGGGAAAGCATAAAGGGTAACTTACTGCCTCATGCAGATTGATACGTGCCTCTTTCTTCAGTGAAATCTAACCTGTCTTCAGGGTGTAGAAAGAACAAAACCACAGTTTTTAAGTGAGTGATAGAGAACATCTTCAAAGGATTTTATCCATATCTTCAAGCTACTCACTCTCATTCATGTTTCTATGCCTACTCACATTACTATATAACAAATTATGTTCTTTCTTTAAATGTCTTACATTATGTCCATCCTGGTCATAGTTTGGATTTTGAGTTACTTCTGAACACCCATGTATTGAATGCTTAATGTCCTGCTGTGGTGCTACTGGGAGGCTGTGAAGGTGGAACTATTAGGAGTATATGCCGAGAAGAAGGAAGTTAAGCCATGTTGGACATGTCTTTGAAAGTGATAATGACCTGCTTCTTGACTGCCATGAGTGAAACAGGTCTCCTGCCCATGTACACCTGCCATGCTGTCACCATAAACCCAAAACGACAGAACCAGTGCCTATTGAAACTTCTGGGACCAAGACAGAATAAACTCTTCCTCCTTTTTGGTTATTTATCTTAGGTATTTTTCACAGAATACCTCTGACTAATGAACCTCTCCCTTTGATGATTCATTGATAAAAATTGCATAAGACTCCACCCAGGCATCAAATTGAACTGTACAACTTTCATATAAACCTTCATATTCAGTATTCCCCATGGCAGCTAATAGCAACTACTAGTCTTCTGATCATTCATGTCACAGACTGAGAATGACTTTGCTTTTCCCTTCACCCCTCATTTTTCATCTGTCAAGAAATCTTGTGAGTTTTGTCAAAATAGTTGAGGCGTTAGAGAGTGACTTCACTGCCAAGCCACCATCACTGTCTGGGTTATGAGAATTGTTTCCTAATTCTCTCCCTGCTTTGTCCTTCTCTTGTCCATACTGATGACCCAGAGGTTGGAGCACTTAGTACTTCTATTAAGCATGTAGTCTGGATACAGTTCAGGTACAATGCTGCCAGCATGCATAGGTGTCTGGGTTCAATCCCTAGGACTTTGAGAAAAAACAAACATAGAGTCAAAGCTAATGAATGCCTCAGCTTAAAAACAACATGGTAATTCGGGCTCCTTACACTTGTCTGTAAGTCTGTCTGTCGTAGATGCTCTTTTGGTGTTCCCTTTCCTCCTCCTTGCCCTGTCTGTGGTGACCATCTTACTGCTCCTAAAGTAGAAGCTTTCTTGCACTCTGCTCTTTTTTTCTCGGAGGGCATTCTTTCTCGGGTTATATCCCATGCCTGTTTTCCTGATCTCTCAAGTCTTTGATTAAATGTCATTTTACAATGTGGCCTATCTCTGACCATGTTACTTCAAATGGGAATCCACATCCAACACATAGTTCCCTTTGATCCTGATTTTTAGGATTCTTTTAAAAATTGCATTTTTGTTCTTTTTGTATACTTATTTCCTTGCTATGGTTTTTGCTTGTCTCTGCTCACTGAAAGGTCAGTTGTACTAGCTGGCTTTTGTTGTTATCTTTAGTGTATGCTTGGTTACTGACTAATTTTTCTTCTTTGTACTGACTGTAGAGGCTTCATTCATGACTATTGAATGAATAAATGTATATTGCCAATATTGTGTCTTTATGGCTATTTTTAGATCCAGTGAAGAATGAGTGTGAGATATTAAAGTGCCCCATAACATTATTTTTTTCTTAGTTTTTCCTTTTGCTTGTTGCATCATGGACAAAATAAAAATTAATAAATAAAACAAAGAATGATATTTGTAATGTATACAGCAAGCAAGCAGTAAATAACCCTAAGAAAGGAACACAAGATGGGCATGGTAGTGATCCCTATAACTGAAGCACTCCGGGTCAAGTTTGGGGCAGGAGGCTCACTCAAAGTTCAAAGCCAGCCTTGGCTAAATAGAGAGATCCTGTCTCAAAAAGAAAAATAATTAAAAAAGGGCTGGAATGCATAATGGTAGAATTCATGAGGCCTGGGCCAACATAAACCCTGTGTGATGGCACATACTATTAATCTCAGCATTTTAGAAGTGGAGGCAGGAAGATTAGAAGTTCCAAGTTATGTTTGGCAAAATAGGGAGTTCCAGGCCAACCTGGGCTAAGGATAGTCTGTAAAAGAAGTGAAGGAGATAGGGAGGTAGGAAAGGAAACAGTAAATAACGTCATACAGCAAATTAATAACTAAAACACACTGACACCTATAAATGTACACTGTTTAGGGGTGATGGTGACTGGAAGAAAAAAAATAGTTTTGATTTAATGTTCCTCACTGAGGGTAAGGACTGAACCCCATCTTATTCCCTGTTACTCTTCCTTGTTCCTCTCCTTGCTTTAGTCAGACTGGAATCAGCTCACACTTTTAGTCACAATTTTTCCGTTTAAAATTACTTTTGATACTTTCATACATGTATGCAATCTGTTTTGGTCATCTCTTCCCCTCTCCCTGTCTCCCAACTCTTCCCAGATACTTCCCACATCCTGTCCCAACTTTAAACTTTATGAGTTTTCTGTTTTTGAAATATAAACCTAAAGTTCAGAATTTGTGCTCATAAAATACACATAGGTGTGAAGCCATCCACTGGATTGTAGTCAACTGCTGGGAACTGTGCTCCCGAAGAAAGGTTTCTTATCAACCAACAGTAGCTCCTCAGCTAGTGGTAGGGCCTTGTCAACCCCTTTTATCTCACTTTCAATGGCAAGTTGTGATGCCTGCCTGCCTGCCTTTTGTTCTTTTATTCTTTATTTTACGTATGAATACATTTATTTTCTTTCTTTTTTTACATCCCAACCACAGTTTCCTCTCCCTCCTCTGTCCCCTCCCTCCCTCCCACCTTCCCTCTGCCCTTCCCCCATCCACTCTGCTGTTTCTCTTCAGAAAGGGCAGGCTTCCCATGGATATCAATATCAAGTTGCAGTAAGACTAGGCATCTTTTTTCATATTGAGGCTGGATGGGGCAACCCAGTATGAGGAAAGGGTCCTTAAAGCAGGCAAAAGAGTCAAAGATAGCCCCTGCTCCCACAAGACTAAGCTAGACAACTGTAACGTATGTGCAAGGGGCCTAGGTCAGTTCCATGCAGGCTTCCTGGTTGTCCGTTCAGTCTCTGTGAGCCCTTAATGAGTCCATGTTAGTTGATTCTGTGGGTTTTCTTTGTGGAGTTCTTGACCCCTCTGGCTCCTATAATCCTTCCTCCCCTTCAGCAGGATTCCCC